AACATTTAACCTGGAGAAAAGCAAAGTAGAAATGTTTGGGTAGTTTACAATGTATGTGTTTTAGGCGCCATCTGTTTGTTATATGTCTGTGACTATAACCATTAACAAGAACTAGTTGTAAAAGAGAAACAGAAATTTTACTAAGACCACCAGAAATGAGGTAATGGCTAAAAGAAGATATAAAAGGAAATGTTAAAACAAAGGACGGCGTGGACATTGATCAGACGAGTTTCTGGCGGTTCCCCTCGCTGGCGAGTAAAGGCTTTGTTTTTTTACCCAACTTCTGTGTCTCCGTACATTTCTTTCCCCCATTCCAGAACAATGAAACTTCCAGTCCTAGAAGAACACCCAATTCTATGTCCTTGTACTGCCACTAATAAACTCTGTGACTTTAGGTATGTCATCCTTTTTAGTTCTTCCTTTTTTTTTGTTGTCATTTTGTTTTGTTTTAAAATGAAAGACCTAGAATACCAGTCTCTATGAACTTACTCCACTTCAGCAGTTTTTGAGTCACGGTCAAAACTTCAGAAATGACAGAGCAGTATGTATTATGTCTTTTCCTCTCTACTGACTTCACTGCATGTGTGACTTGAATACAGAGAAAGAATTTATCACTAATCCTTCCTCTCATTATAAAACAAAATCTGACATTCTTATGCCTGCTTTAATGTGCATTATACTTCTTAAGAGCCTGTTCAGATTGAATGTCAAAGCCAGTAACCAGATCCTACAATGTGTCTGCCAATCTGAAATACTTAATGCAATCCTGGCCAGCCATTGCCATTTTGGCCTTACATAACACAGCTGCTACTACTTCTCTCTACCAATTTTTATCACCTTACTGGCATGAGAACTTAGTGTGTAACTTATTAGCAGTTTTGAACTTGGGTTCATCATGTAGTCTCTCTGGGCATTGGTTTCCTCATCTATAAAATATAGATGATAATTATTGCCACGTCTTCTTGCCACTATGTAAAAAGTCCTTGTATCCTATGCTATACAAATGTTTAGTATTATTAGCCATTATCTAACAAGTCTTTCAATTATATGTTGAAAACCAACTTGACTTTTGATGATATTCTGGTCCAGAGAATGGAAGAGACTAGTCTGTCTCTAACCATTAGTAGAGAGAAGCAAAAGTGAAATGTAATTCAGTTAAGTGCTACCATAGTAATATGTCAAGGTACAATAATAATACAAAGAAGGTACTGCCTATTTCTGCCTGTGTTGGCCAGAGAGGCTTTCACAGAGAATTTGACGTTTGGGAAAAGTCTGGAAAAAGGCATAGGAGTTGGACAAGCAGACTTTGACAAGCATATTTAAGGATTTTATAGCTGACCTGTAAGTTGAACACCCCTAAATCAACATCACCAACTTCTGTTGATCACTTTTGCTCACCATGCTGCTGTTTCATAGTGAGCTTAAAGTGATTTCATGCTCCCAGGGGAAGGAAGAACCTTGAAAGAGAGACAAAATTGTAACTGCCAGAAATTCCCATTTTCTTAGTGCTGTGTGTGTTTGGCCTCAGGGTTCTTAGTGCTAAAAGCATATTGGACTGTAGATGGAAGCAATAAAATATCAGTAGTGCTGAGAAGAAAATAAGAGTTCTGATTCATGTGATACCAAAAATTACTTCAAAATGAGCTCAGAGTTTCATGTTGGGATATCTATTTGGCATGTGTAACATAAACAAAATGCACATACCAAAAAATCTTTCTCAGAGAAAGATAGCACCTACAAAATGGAGAAAAACAGAATAACAAGAGGGATTGACATTATGGATTAAGACCTTTTCCAAGATAATCACATTCAAACAAATGAAAGCAGAATTGGGCAACCTCTTTGGGATGCTGCTCTATTAATTATTAATATTCATATTAGAGAATAAATAGAACTCAACTAATGATCATATTGAAGGTATTAGAAATTAATGTACAATATACTGATAGAGATATATGTAACTGGAAATATTTCAAAATTCAGAACTTAGACTGTCTTTCTAATTAGTTTTTTTTGAGATTTTTTCCATAATTTTAAAATCAGCATATAACTAGGAATGGTGGCACATGCCTGTAATTCCAGCACTCAACTTGGAGGCTGAGTCACATGGATCACCATAAGTTCAAGCCCAGCCTGGGCTGTATAGTGAATTCA